GCTTCATAGAGAACTTTCATGATTTAAGTCTAGGTTAAAGTGATAGGAAATGGGTTTAAGCAAACTTTGAAAAGGAAAGAAAAAGTTTCTTCTTGTCTCTTAACTGTTATAATAACCTGCAACAGCTCATGGTCTCCTCTTCTCCCTTTTCTTTAGGAGATGTGGTGGACATCTACCAGCGGGAGTTTCTGGCGTTGAGGGAGCGCCTCCATTTGGCCGAGCAGGAGAACCTGCGACGCTCCAAAGAGCTCAATCTGGTCCTGGAGGAGATCAAGCGGGCCATTGCGGAAAAACAGGCGCTGCGAGACATCAACCGTACATGGAGCAACCTCTCAGGTTAGCTCACCTTATGATATACATAGGATAGGATAGGATAGTTAGGCTGTATGTATAATCCAGAAGATTGAGATTATATCCCACCTGGTCAAATATGATCCAACCCATTTCAAAATTGAAATGTGGTAAATCCTGACCCCTGGTCTAACTTGGTCTCCCTCTCCTCATTCCCAGAGGAAACACGGCTAAAGTTGTGGAACGTGAGCAGCAATAAAAGTCTTCTTCAGCTTCCCTCCATCTTCCATCATCTTCCTCCCCGCTAAACAAAGACGCCAGTCTACAGCCAGCCGTCCACCTGGGTCAGGGACGAACTGGGGGTGAGGCATCTTTGGAAAATGTTAATGTTTTATCCATTCCAAGATGGAATTTTCCAACTAGAATCTAAACCACTTGTTATTAACATCATGATCCTCAAGACAATATTTTAGAGTGAGCAGCTACAAAAATTAGCAGGAGCCCATTGCTCCTGGGCACCATTGGCCTGTCCTGATGTATAACTATACATTATTTTGGGAATTAGCAATTAGCAAATATCCAATTTAAAATCCACACTCAACTTCTTAGATTAGGTTTTGACAAAGATTTACTTTCTAAAAATAAATGTGGCCTTTACTAATGAGCTGAGACATTGAAAGGGAGTTCCTAGGATAATTTGTAAGTAAGGTATAGAGAGCCACTAGCTTTTTGTTTGAAACACTATCCAAAAATCCCTGCATACACAATCTCATCTCAAGGTCTTTTCTCTTTTTGAGTGTTGTTAAATCAGCTTAAAATTCAGACTCTCCTCTTCTTTTTCTCTGTGTGTGCGCAGTCTCTATAGTGATGGGGGTCCCCAGTGTGAAGAGGGAGGTCCATTCGTACCTGACCGACACGCTCAGCTCTCTCATGTCAGAGCTCAGTGCAGCCGAGAAGGACGACTGTGTCATCGTCGTCCTCATCGCAGAGGTCAGTGTGTGTGTATATATATATATATATAAATATAAGTGCGAACGTGTGTATTAACACCTGGCCACCACAGTGTGTCTGTACTTTTTTGTGCGTCTGTAGGTGCGTATACGCGTCCTCATTTGTTATATAAAGGTCAGTGGTTTGACTAATGAACCCACAGACGCCCATTACTCCTGTGTGCTAATGTTGGGGCCTCAGATGAAGAATACATTATTTTCTACAGTGTTTGTCTTTTTATACACAATAACCTGCTCGGTGCAGAGATAATTGTAATGTAGTGTAACGTCGTATCAGTGTGTGAATTTAGAAAAAAAACGAGTGACATTACACAGTCCCCACTGAGTCACAGGTACACACTGATGATGTCATGAAATAGTTTTGTTTGACTCTGTGTATGCTTTAAAGAAACTGTTTAGTTTATTTTTAAGTGTGTTTATATGAGGCATTGCCCCCCCATCAGAACACTCTGAGCTGTGAGTGCCCCCTGCTGCTAGATCCAAGAAGACTCACGTTCCTTGAAAACTGCTGCGGGTAAAACAGCAAAAAGTAGTTAATTGCGACTTAATCAATGGTTTACTTAATGAACTAAATCAGCCGATTTTACATTATACCACACAGGACTGGTGGATCCACTGCAGCAATGACCGTCCATTCAAATGTGACTTTTTCCACATTTGTGTTTGAAATCGTTTTGCTCAAAGTTGCACACTTCATCCCAAAGGTCTCACTGGCTTTGGTTTAAGGTGATATAGAAATCGCAATATAAAGAGATAAAGAAGGAAAGTATTAAGTAAACAGGTGAGAAAAGACTGCATACCTGGAGGATTTATGGGTTATGTGACCTAACTTAGTTCACTTGTGTCACAAGTTGCCAATAAATGTTTTTAGCAGAGTTTCATTTTTCTAGTCTGTTCTGGGGTTTTCAGACTAACCCATATAGTCCACACCATCTTTTTAGCACCTGTGTTGTGTTGCAGCAAGCTTAAAGAACTTAAATAGGATTCTTATTCCCTCTCTACTGTGTGTGTGTGTGTGTGTGTGTGGGTGTGTGTGTGTGTGTGTGTTTAGGCTGACCTGCAGTACGCCAACAGTGTAGCAGAAAACCTAAAGCGCCTGTAAGTGTACCTACATCATAAGATGTACGATTCTCTACCAGCAGACATTAGAGCCACGTGTCCTCACTTCCTGTGCGTGTGTGTGTTTGTTTGTGTTTTAGTTTTCCAGCAGAGATTCAGTCCGGTCTGTTGGAGGTCATCTCTCCATCGGTCCACTTTTATCCAGACTTTTCCCGACTACGAGAGTCATTTGGAGATCATAAGGAGAGAGTCAGGTGAGAGAGTGTGTCAAAAGAAAATTAAAGTGATTCTCAAAAGAGATTTAAAATAATTACACTTTTTATTGACTGCCATGGCAGATTTCCACATCTCCTCCTGTTAATTTATCTTAATTTAAAAATGATAATATCTCATGTAGAGGGAAAATTAAGAAAAGGCAGTAGAATAGAGAAGCATGACAAGTAACATAGTCGTTGAACCAAGGCACTAAGACACTAGGGGTCACAGTTTGGCTGAGCTCGTGTTCTCCTGTTTCTGAAAAAAAAAAGTTCTTCTTTCATCTGAGAAACACTGTTTCTCTTTAATTTCCAAAGAAGCAGCTGATTTCACCACTGTGTCAAATCATGTGTGTGTCTGTATTTATGGAACAATACACTTGTGTGTGGGGGATTTTTGTGCCTGGAGGTCATCAGTGGTCATGTGTTCATCACATGCTACATTAACCCCCTCACACTGCTCTAACTTTTTCCAAGGGCCAGGGGTCAAACTGCACGGCACTAAACAAGTGAAACAAGTGGGCTGTAAAACAGCTGCTTATTTTTAAACTTATTCTATAAAAATGAGCTTTTTTACAAGAAAAGAAAACAGTGGAAGTGAATTATACCAAAAACCACAGACTTTTTGGAAAAAATGAAATTTGATTTTAGATATGTTGAAATATGTGTCCGTGAATCAAACTTATTTTCCTGTTCCTCTGTATCTTGGGATGGTGTTCAACTAGATTCCTTATCATCAAGAGTGTCTTATCTTAATTGTAATCTTTTTTTCTTCACTCTTATCTCCTCCTCTTCCTCAGATGGAGGACAAAGCAGAACCTGGACTTTTGTTTCCTGATGATGTATGCTCAGTCCAAAGGGACATACTATGTCCAGGTGAAAAACATTTTCTCTCTCATATTCTAGATGTTCCACAGAGTTTTTTTTTTTTTTTCACTCAAAATATTGTTCCAAAAATAGATTAGTTTTTAAAGGCACATTAATTGATTGCATGACTCTGTAGACCAATGTTTTTTTGTTGTTGTTATTTCTCTAAGCTCCTGACTTCTTGGCCTAAAAAACACAGAAGAGCCCTGATTTAAACTGTACTTTAACTTTGAACATTTAAATGAAAAAAGTGGCGTCAAGGTGGTTGTCAAAGCACGACGCACGACGATGATGCATTAACAAAAGATAAAGAGTAAAGAGTGTCAAAAGAAAAAAAAAAGTTTGTCCCAAACATATCATCCCGAATGTCGCAATACAAAACTAATGTAAAAAACCTTGAAGAAAACCCCAGGAAACAACAAACACATCATATTTAATTAACTACACATGTCTCTCTCGCTCACAGCTAGAGGATGACATAGTCGCCCGTCCAAACTACTTCACCACCATGAAGAACTTTGCCTTGCAGCAGCCATCGGAGGAGTGGATGATCCTTGAGTTTTCTCAGCTTGGTTTCATCGGTGAGTTCACATTGAAAAGCCCTATGATTTCACACCAATTTATCACATCAGTCTGCCTTCAAGTTTAACTCCCAGTGTGAGCGTTCCAACAGGGAAGATGTTTAATTCTGTCTCTGCTTTCAAAGTGTTTTCATTCTTGAATTCTTATGTATCTCATGATAGTAGTCAGAACTGACAAAACTAAAGATACTGCAGTAACAGGATTAAACCAGAAATCTCTGTCTTATTCACACCACAGTCCTTTAAAATACACACGAGAGCTGTTTGTGAATTGCTGTTACAAGTGGCATAGATTAGTCACAGACATAATAAATTATTTTCAAACCCATAATTCACAGTTACATTTCTTTACAAGTCGTCATTCAGTGGGCCATAATGTCATGTGAGTTTGGAATTAGAAATTGAGTTTTCAAATGTCTTCACTGCATGTCTTAATGCTGAAATATTTTTCACAGTGTGTGATGATTTATAATGTGAAAAATGTGTTTCATTTGGTGTGAACAAACAGCTGCAGTAACATCTGGCCTCTTCAGTCTTTCTTGTCACACTACGTTGTAGTGGCAGAATCTTCAGACAGTGAGTCTGTGAGACAGTGCAGTACGTATTTGTCATGGCTGCAGCTTCTCACCTCTTTCCAGTGAAGCAGCGATGACATCGTCTTAATCTCGGGCGTGAATTTCTGAGCGTTGTTAATTCAACTTGCTTCTTGCTTCTTCTCCAACAGGGAAGATGTTTAAGTCATTGGATCTGTCTCTCATCGTCGAGTTCATGCTCATGTTCTACAAAGACAAACCAATTGACTGGCTGCTCGACCACATCATGTGGGTCAAAGTGTGCAACCCCGAGAAGGACGCGGTGAGAAGCTCCGATCTCTGTAGCTGACAGACCACAGGGAACCCATTAAACAACATTTTTTCATTATTTTAATGAAATGATTACAAACCTGGCTGTGGAGTTTGAATCCTGACCTGATCAGTTTGTGACTCTGTTCATGTGTCCACAGAAACACTGCGACAGACAAAAAGCTAACCTGAGGATTCGCTTCAAACCATCTCTCTTCCAACATGTTGGAACACACTCATCACTTGCGGGAAAAATACAGAAGCTCAAGGTAAGAGTTTATGTTTTTAAGTGTTTGGTCCAAGTATAGCTGTGATCTTTGCCATCTGCTGGTAAATACATGTTGCTACGCAGGTGAAAAACAATTTAATTTAACACATATACACCTAAACTTGAGTCCGTCATATTGACATAATTTAAAAAAAAAACTCCAAACACATCACCAAATATAAATATGTTTAAGAAGGTATATACATTATCATTTACTCCTGATTTTCCTGCTCAGTATTAAAACGCAGCCTGTCTAGTTGAACACAACCAAGATATACTCGCAGGAATTGAAGAAAGGCTTGCAAGAAGATCTTCTTCATCAGCTTTTCCACACGACACGTGATGATCACGGCACACCAGTGTGCTACAGTACAGTGGTTTGATATAATACATGACAAAATATTTACATCATTAAGCTGCAAACAAGCAAAATTTTTACAAGTTTTGACTTGTTATGATGACCATAAAATACAAAAAAGTGAAAACTATTCATCCCTATGTCTTATTTAACATAAGTTAAAAAAACATGGCCTATTTATGCATTATAAAACTGTTAATTTTTATCCACCCACCTACTGTTTATTTTCATGAACTACCTCCAGTATTTACACCGAACTAGTCAAAGACGCACTTAAAAGTGTATTTCTCAGACACAGACTTTTAAGAAGTTCTGTTGAAAATTAAGCTACCTTTTAATGACAACCCAGCAAGTTTCATTGTGACACTGCAGAGTTTGAGACTGATCCAGGATCAGTCACAGTCCAGTGGCTGTGTAGTGATGAAGACTGATGAAGAGTGATGACCTCTGCAGCTCCAGCCTCTGCCAGCAGCAGGGAGCTGAAAGCTGCCTCTTATTACCGCACCGAGAGCTGACCGCTGCTGCAGTCTGCTCCCATCAATTCCATATCGATTCCACATCCTGCATCAGAGGCTCCTCAGTGTTGGAGACTGGAGCGTATATGGAGGCTGAACCCCAGGCAACGTTTTAAAATTTGGAACATGGTCTTCCAGTTTAATAATGTATTCCTATTTTCAAGCATCAGATTCATGATTCCCCAGTTTTCATTCACACTCAAATAAATAGAACCGGGAATGGAAGTGAAATTGAAAGTTCCCTTCATTTAGGCTTCTGACATTGTGAGGACACAGTGTCCCCATGTTTGTGCTTTACATCTGTGTTACCCTTTCAATTGGGTCATTTACCTAATGTTGGATTAAAAAAGACCTGGTAATAATGACTGTGATCATAAACCTATTAGAAGTAGTCCTTCTTCACATTGGTCTTCATTTGTCGGCACCATGAAGTCCAGGCTGTAACTCATGGTGTTTCTTCATGTAGTTGTGTGAATGGTTTTTTGTCTTTAAATGTGGCCTCTGATGGACTAGTAAACTGTCCAGAGGGTGTGCCCCACCAACTCACTTCCCTATGACCCAAAAAGGGATTAGTTAAAAGACCATGGATCCTTGGACCAAGCAGTAGAGAAAGGATACATGGGCAGAGTTGCCACCTAGTGGCTCATCAGTGAAACATCTAGTGCTGCCAGAAAAAGACGACTTTTTGATGAATTATGAGTTTAAGTCTAATTTCAGTAGTTTCAACGTTAATGTCCTGTTGAGTAGGTCACAGTAAACTGTGCTTTCATAAAACACGTGTCATAAAACATCACGAAAATAGTTTTTAGCCACAAAAAAGGTTAAAGTTAAGTGGTTTGTTGAAATGTATATATTTATATCACCTGTCATAATTAATGCTAGTGATGAATTCATGGTCCAAGAAATTATGCATAGAAATATAAATAATAATAACAACAATAATAATAATAATAAAAGTATAATAAATACCCATAGAGGCATACTTGGAAAGTATGTGCTCTATGTACTATAAAAAACACACATTTATTAATAATTGCTCTTTCTCTATACTATAGCTATTAATAGGTGGTCCTTGATGTTTACTGCTACTTACTTGGTATTTACTTTATTTTGATAAGTGATGAAAATAACTAATATTTTAGGATAAGGATTTTGGGAAACAGACACTGCACAAAGGTCACGCCAACCCACCTGCAGAGGTCACAACCAGCCTGAAGACGTACCAACACTTCACCCTGGAGAAAGCCTACCTGGGCGAGGACTTCTTCTGGGCCTTTACACCCGTGGCAGGCGATTTCATACGAATACGATTTTTCAAACCTGTGCGCATTGAAAGGTCAGTAACGTGGCATCAGGATGTGGGGAGAAGAGGAAGGTGTTGAGAAACTGTCCTGAGTGCAATGCTAACAGACCGTGACTGGATTTAAGCATTTGTTGATGTTGTAGACTCCTGATAGACTCAACATTCTCTTCCCCCATAGTGCAATTATTCTGTATAGTATCCTAATAAAACAAAGGAAAAAAAGGAATGTTGAATATACAGTCTATATATACATATATATATATATATATATATATATATACACATATTTTCAGACTAATTGATAGACTATAGGTGAGACAGCTATAGCTAATACTGATGCTTCGTGTTCCTTCCTGTATTTTCTTCTCCTGTGGACGGTTTAATGTTAAAGTTAAACCTCCTTTCTGATTGGCTGTTTGTTTTTCAGGTTTTTCTTCCGCAGTGGTAACATTGAACATCCAGGAGACAAACTCTTTAACACGTCAGTGGAAGTTCTACCATTTGATGTGAGTATGAACATACTTGATTTATTAAAACACATAAACATTGGGTTTAGGAAACGTCAACATTTGTGAGTAGACTATTTACAGTGGAGGACCAGGAGCACTGTAATCGTTGGTCTACGGATCCATGTTCTGTGGCCAACTGGGTTGAAAGTCAAAGTAAAATGAACATACGATGAAGTAGTGATGTTTGATATGCCAATGAAAGACTTACTTTGAAAGAAAAATATCACTCAGAACATATCTAGACAAGATTTAAATGTAAATGTGAAATGTTATCCCGAGTCACTTTACAGTGAGGATTTAGACTCCCATATACATAGAGTGACTCTGTGACTTTAAATAAGTATGGATTAGTGTAATCATGAAATATACGTAGTTAGTGATAAACACTGTGACCTGCACCAGTATTGCAAATACGCAGATGCCACACAAGGAGAGACAGTAGAACGGTGCTGATGGTCAATATATCAAATTCTGCCGAAGGACAGCTGTGTCTCACTGTTGTAATAAGGACTTAGAGAAAAATAGGTGAAGGTAGATATTGACTGGACTAAAACAGTCTGTGTTTGTGTGTGCGTGTTCCAGAATGTTCAGGCAGACAAAGAAGCTCTGACAGACGGTAGGGAGAAGACACCAAAGTATCACAGGACAGAAGATGGCTTCATCAGAATAGGTGAGACACTTTCATCATGCCACATCAAATAAGGTGTTGCTGGAGAACAACAATGGCCCGAGCCCTGTATCAATAACACTGACAAACCGGTAATTAGAAGAAAACTTCATAAAGACTTGGACAAAAAGCCCTGACTTCCATAAAGAAAATAATATATTTCTAATCACACTACATTATTATTATTATTTTAATAATAATAATAATAAGAAGAAGAATCAAGAAAGGTTTATCATTTAGTTAAATCCTTTTTTTTTTTTTTTAATTAACGCAGTACGTACTATAGCAATGTTGATTTTTTTATCATGTGTGTGTTTTAGGAACATTCCAGAATGGAATTGCTGAGGGGGAAGTGGACCTTATGTTTGGCCCCATTGAGACCCTGCGTCTCTCTGTGATGACAGACTCTCCAGTTTGGGTGATCCTCAGTGAGGTCAGAACTTTTTAAGTTTAAAAGTGTAAAATGCTGACCCATTAATCTCTGACAAACAGTTCAGAGATTAATGGGTCAGTATGAAGAATATTTGACCCGAAAGTGGTCACGGTCAGAAGCAGAATTGTAAGGTGTTTGGCAATGTTATCCTGATCCTGTTGGAAACCATGGTTTTACTCAGAAACAACCAGTGTGTCCTGTGTTAAGTAGGTCTCCAGGTGTGACGTAGCATTACTTATGTTATTCTGTTTCTCCTCAGATCTTCATAAAGAAAGCAGAGTGATGCTGCACCCCTCTCCTCTTGCCCTCAGCTTTACCTCAGCATCCTCTCGGACACAGCCAAGCTGACGGGAGGCTGCCTGGCTCCAGTTCTGCTTAACCTAAGCATCATCTGTCTGGACACAGCCACCGCAGGCCAAGGATGACCAGAGAAACTATTTAATGTTTAGGCATTTTTTTGGAATTAGAATGCCTGAGAGAGATGACTTTGTAATTAGTCTGAACATGTGTATTTATGTGTACATACATGCAGTAGAAGTACATGTTTAACACTGGCGGTCATGGAGGGCAGGAGGGCCGTGAGGGACTTTTTGATGAAGAAGATCCTGCCGCTGCCTCCAGACTTTGACCCAGAGCTTTGTACTAACGTTGACCCGACTCACTAACACGTGTGTGCATGTAGAGACAGACACATACACGCCTACATCAGGGGAAAAGTCTGTGGTTTCTTCACATTTCCCTCTAGCAGCGAGAAAATTTGCCTTAAAAACAAACAGGAGCAAGATTTACTACCCAGGATCCTCAGAGCCTATGACATCACTTTTTTTTTTTTTTTACCTCAGCCTTGTCACTGATGACTGATATGTTTTTTTATAGTAATATACTTAAAAGTATTTTACTATATAACATATAATCATAATTCACTTTAAATTCCTTTATGTTTTGCTGATGTAAAAATCAAGGACTTGATAATGAAATGTACATTACTGTACATGTCAGAACTTCCTTTTGGTCAACTTTATAGCACCCAACTCTGTTACAGTTCTCTGTTCTGACCTACTTTACAGTATCATACTCCCATTAGATCAAAGTACTCTGATTTACCTCAAAATGTTTTGACATACATCACAGTACCATGAATAACGGTGATTCACTGATTTGGTTTATACTTAATTTTTTAGTTATTTATTTCCAGATTCTAACAGTACTCTACTTTGCGCTTCATACTTGTTAAAACATCAAGTGAAGTTATTGACTTCACTTGATGCTTTTACGGTACTTTACTTAAATTTATCCTACTGTGAAAAAAAATTAGACAGGTGTTTACTTTTTCTCTATTTTTATTTTTTCCAGCCTTTAGATTTTTTTAATTATTTTAGGCAAATTTAAAGAAACAAGATCCTTTCTCAAAATCAAATTGCAGAAGTGGATTAAAAGTTTTTTTAAGAGGAGCTGTGAGGCCCTGAGGCCTGTTAAACCGGGCAGTGGCTTGTTTTTCAGCTACAGCCTACCTTCGTGGACGAGGCTAAAAAAACAAATTGATGTTTTTAAATTTATTTTATTAATGTATACTGTTAAACCAAAAAATGGTTTAACAGTATACTGTTAAACCAAAAAATGTTTTTGGTTTAGTCCATGTATACTTTATTGCAAAGTACCGTACCCTTATCTGACTGACTTTATAATGCCATACTCAGAGATTGTTTACAGTACTTTACTCTATTATACCCTAAATTTTTTACTACTTACACAGTATTCTGATGTATTTTAAAGTGCTGTTCTGTTATTTACATTACAGTACTTTACTCTGGTTTATATTGCAGTACTTTGATCTAAGTACCTTTAATCTAATAAAATATACAGTACTTCTTATCTTATTGCTGCACACATAATTTAGCAGTATGGCACAATACCCTCATGCAGTCCTAAAGTACTTCACACTGGTTCTTCACTATGCTAATCCAATCCAGTACTATTACTCTTTAAATGCCCCAGTGTCTGCTTGAAGGACCTCGTGTGAACTGTAGTTTCCAGTCCAGACCAGAAACTGTAATTATTGTCTTTTCTTCAGTCTCAGTGACTTATTTTTGTCTTTTTTTTCTATTTTCATTTTGGAATTTTTAATAATCTGGTAAATATTTCCCTCGAATTATTATTTTAATCATTAATTTCAGTTCTAATAATAATATTGACGGTTTTGCATGGTTCAACTCTTAAATGGAAGTCCAGGTAGAGGTACACCTGCAATGCCTGCATTGCCTACAAGTGGTACATAACAGCAACAAAAAATAAATAAATGGAGAGAGGGATTTTCTTTTATGCACCCATTTTTTCTCTTCCAAGATCACCCAGCTCCATTCTCCATTTTGTTCACTCATTCTTTGATTCTTTCTGGGGCTCTAATCAGAAACAGGGGTAGCAGTGAACCGGTGGTTTTGTTGATGTTTTTCTTAAGAGTTGAAGTGAAGTTGAAGACACTTCATTTTACATTTCTTTTTTCTTTCAGAAGATGCACTGGAATTGTTGTTCTATTGTTTTTGGTCTTTTGTATCCTTTAGATAAAATATTTAAATGATCTTTTATTTGATCTGTGGATTGGTAATAAAGAGAGAAAATTTAATAAAATGCAGTTGATCAGTTACTTGTGTCAGCTCAGAGATGTAAATGGAAGACAACATAAAACCAACCAGAACATCTCCATAAGATCACACAAAAGTTTTAGTTTTTATATGTCATATTTGAAAACCTGTTTATTAATGATTCATCTTGTTTTGTGGATATTTACGTTTAAAAAATGTAAAATGACACTGGTGATTGCTGTGAGATTATTCTAAAATTAGAATCCAATTGTAATTTGATTGTTTTAATAATAATAATACTTACATTCACTCTCTGCAACAGATTGCTTATTGGTGTTACTGTTATCAATCAGACATTGGTCACTCCCAAAATGCTGAATTGCAAATTAAATTTTGAAGTGAAATTTGTCCTTCCGTTGCCCTGAAATTTGCCCTGTTTTGACTACTGTAGAATAAAAGGGGTAACATTGCAGAACTTTCAAAAACACTTCAGTCCCAATCCAAGGATATCCACAGCTCCTCTGAAGAGTGTCCCACTGCCTCCAGCCCGGAGAGTTCCGTTGTGTTGTTTCTTTCCATTGGCAGTATCTTCAGGTACATCAGGCCATGAAGTTTTGTTTTGCAATGCAGTTGAATGACAGAGACAGTTCTTTGTGGGGTTTCAGATTATTGTTTATTTGTAGCTTTTATTATTATTATTATTATTTAAATCGGTACACTTTATTAAATAAAAAGTGTCCCAATCTGTGTGGGATTGTATTAGTGAGCTCTTGAAGTCATGTGAGTACTTTAAAACAGTCCTGTGTGACATCATCAAAGTCGTTATATTCTAATGCTGTTATTTAATCAAAGCCATACAGTGGGATTGATTTTAATTTAGCTTGTTCAGTCCAATGGTTGTGTTGTGGTCATATTTTTTTTCTTGCCATTACGTGGGAAGTAGATAAGAAGAAAAAGGTAAAATAAAATAAAAATAGAAGGCAATTATATAACATGTTCTCACTAAGTTCTTTTGTAACAGAGCATATGATCGCTCTAGTAAGATATAACATTTTATTGTTGATGTTTTAATTGATATTATTGTTACTTTAAAACAGCAGTTTGTATGCTACCTTTGAATAAATGAAACGAAATGAAAGTGTTAGTCAGCTGTAAAAACAGATTTTAATTACACTCTGTTATCTAACAACTCTGTTGTTACTGATTTTCAAACAGTATTTTTTAGTGTACCTTAACAGCTATTGATATCTCTGTGCCTGTACAAGTGGAACTTTGTCCTTTCCCTAATTGATACTGTAACGAAATCGTGTTTTGTCAAAACATAGTTTGATGATACATGTGCTTAGATTGGTGCATTTAAAAAAAGTTGAGCTTTTAATAGTTTTGTGTCTAATATTCATTTTCTGCAGTAACTTTTGGATTGTCCTTAACACTAAATGCTGTGCTTAGTAAGCGTGCTTATTATGTTTTTATTTACGATTTCTAAGCATCCCATACAACCACAAAAAAACGAAACTATCATCCAGTCAGTTGGAGGAAAATTGGGAGAAAAACAACAATTTACTATAGCCCTCTGCGGCTGGTGAATAAAAAGACTACAGAATTTTTAATCACTTTTTTTTCATAATTTTTACTACAGCCAATCAACGTCAAGTAGTCCCTGCAACTTCGACCAATTATTGCTGTCCACGAGGTTCAGCTCTGGTGTGGGCGGGATTTAGCCACGCTGACTGAGATTTCCTTTTGACCAATCAGCTGCTGACAGTTGACAGGAAACGTCAAGCACTCATTGTCCTTGACCAATCAGCACCAAGGGGACGGAGGCCTTCTTCCTTTCCATTTCCCACGTGACCCTCCTCGGCAGTTCCCAGGCGGTCAACGCGCAGAGCCGTAGGTGAGTAAAAGAGGCCGATAAACGTCACTTTAACTTGCCTTATTTTAGCACAGAGTAATATTCACCAAGATAGTCTGCTGCAGTTCTACCCCCCCAATCCTTGTATTTGTAAATAATGTTTGTTCTGGTTGGTGAAGTTTAGGTTCTATTTCCGTAAGTGGCTAGCTAAAGCTAATCGAGTACAGGTGAAACCAGCTAGCGCGTTAGCCTGCTGCTAGGTTAAATTCGTCAGCCTGCTGCTAATGGATTCATTGGTTTCAGAGCAAATAACCTTTATACAGTTATTCTATTAACTTATCGATGTTATTATTGTTTTCTTAAAGTGTTAATTGTGGTTTAAAAACGGCTGCGTATCAACGAAGAGCACTTCACCACATTTATATAGGCAGTCTTACCACGATTTTTCGAGTTAAAATTATTCTGTTACTCCACCCTTAACTTATTTTCGCAGTTGTCGAAGAGGACAAGAGAAACCCCAACATATTTACATTTTGAAGTATGGAAGTAAAAATACTTGGGTATTTTAGCTGGTTAACAGTGTTAAATTAAATGTGAATGTAATAGTTCAAAAGTATTTGATTAGTAGAATATTGTTATGTGTATCTCATACATATGCATTTTTCTCTTGAAATTGACATTTTGAATGATTAGAATAAAATATTTTTATTCTATTCTCGACTTAGCCAGCTTGTCATTGGCTGATCGAATTACCTCACATAAACTGTAAAAGTAGCACCAGCAAGGAAAGAAAAATGTCACTAATACTACAGTAACCTGCAAAAATGGACAATTCAACCAACCAAATACATCGGCCAGTGACAGTCAGAGTGCCATTAACAGAAGGCTGCTTGTAATAAAGAAATGAAGACATCTGTAGTTTTTCATTTGATAAAGAATCGATTAGAAGCTCTCATCTCTAAGCTTCTGCTGATCTTGTATCTGGTCTTGAACATCGGGTTAGGCTCAGTGCAACCAGTGGAACCTGCTGGTTGGATATCGAGGGCAGGCTGTTGGTGAGACTGCCACCTGCTATGGATCATCTTCATGACATGAGGTCATTCAGGGAAAAATAGATCTGAGATCAAACTGGATAATATCTTCCATTGTGTGCTCTGTGGAAATAGGCTGTCACTTTTCCCTTGATCACTTGTATAGACATTACTAGGGGGCATTTGTATTTAACTAAAACCTGACAAAAAGGCCAGGACACATAATCCACCCTTGTATTAGCGATTAAAATTACATTATCTCCTTGATTTGGATAACTTGATTATTGAACAAGCAAATTGTATATTTTATCTGATTTATCTGTCTTGACTCATTATTTCTTATAGATACAAAATTCCCTAAAGATCACACTGTAATACTTTCCATGTGATTTCAAGATTCCAAAGAATGTGTGAGCTCTGTGTCCTGGTGAACAAATGTACAAAATTGTAATTAAGGACTGTTGTTTTCAAGTCAATTACTTTCACTCTCTAGCAGCACATCTGTTATTTTAGCTGTCAGCGAGGCTCAGCTGAATGATTCTGCACTGAAATGTTCATGCTGTTCAACATGAGTAGCCTTACAGCTTTGTAAACCTTATGTACATGTTAAATAGGTAGTTGAAAGACTGGTGCAAAAAGAAGCATTCATTGGTAGAGTTGGTGAAACAGGATGATCACCAGTCACCCCGTTACTGTTAATATTTATCTTTTAACACAAACCATGCATCTGTTGTGTGTACCTCAGTTTAAATAGTAACCTGCTCCTCCTGTCTGCTGGGTGATGAGTTAACTGACATAGACTCATAAAGGCTAACTTGGCTCTTCTCCAAAAAAGTAGTTATAGTCAAAGAAACATTTTTTATGCATCATAAAAGCTTGAGGAAAGTGTAGCATAATGTTCTCGTCTTGGTGTTACAGTAAACAGTTGGGGTGGAGGTTGGCACTTATCAAGTGGTGAATCAGTATAGCAGCAGATGTCCTGCAGGCTCAACAAACAACTAAATATGAGATTAACTGACAAAACACCTGATGGTGCTGTAGGCAGCCCCTGTGGATGAAGCCAATATCCTCAACTGTGGACAGATAAAAAAATGTTTTAAAGGGGGCACTTCAGTTAGCTATATTGCGCAATAACAATAGTTACTGGTTAGACCTGTCACAGTGATTTTTTTTTTAATTGTGAGGGTCTACTTTCAACTCGACATTTAGAAAAACATGGAGGAGGAAAGACATTTATGAGAGGTCAACCGTACAATCTGATCAAAGATTGGTCATGTCAGCACTTGCAAAACATTGAGATCATTTGAGGTAAAACATGGAAACAGTAAACATCCTCTGTAGCGGTCCCTAAATGCCATGGAGTTGCCAGGCATTTGAATAGCTTTTGATGGTAAACCCGCCTCTAAATGCTAAGTGTTAGACTCATCACTGTGGAGTGGAGCTCTTGGCCAAGCTTGTAAATACCGCTGCTGGCTAATCAGATAAGCCCAACTCCTTTCTATGTAAGGCATGGGTATAGTGTGTGTAAGAATTATATTGACACGTAAAGATGGTTTAATTTAGTCAAAATGCTTATTAACCTCTGCACAAAAAAATTCAATATTTTAAAGGGAAAAATAAAATATAAATAGTTTTCTGCCTTTTTAGGATAAAAAAAACTCAAACAGTATAAAAAAGCATCAACAGATCACAGCCAAGATATGTTTATTTAACAGGACTAGTAGAATCTTTTCTTTCTTTCCTTCCTTTCTTCCTTAACAAAGGTTATATTACCAGGTATGTTTTCATGTAAATCCTCCTATTAATCACTATATCAACAAAGAGATAATTATTGTTCCCATTAGTTCCCTCAGAGCCTCTTCTCTTAGTTTACTTGTAAACACGACCAACACTACCGTCAATGCCTGTGTATAATGAGTCATCCGTCTCAACAGACTTAAGTGCTTGTGTGCTCAGTAGTGTCTGTGTGTGAGTGTAGGGAGCTGGGGTTGCTGTGCTAATCTCCTAGGGCATAATCTCATTAAGGTGTGTTTGTTGGTCCTGTGGGTGCAGGTTGGTAAGAGTGAAGATGTATAGATGCCCCAGGAACACACTAGTTGGAAACTGCTGAGTGTCTCATGATGGAGGAACAAAACACAAACCTTTATGAAATAGTAGCTGTCCATGTATGAATATGGAAATATGCAAAACTTGATTTCATTGGCAATAAACTTGATTTGAAACTTTTTCTGTTCTGATACTGAGACAATGTCTATATAATTTCATGTGTAGTACCTTTATCTTCTTCAAATCTTACACCTCTGCAGAAAATGGATCAGAGGGTTGGGTTTTTCCTTCTTCTGGCGTTGGGCCTCCTCTGCCTCAGTTTAAGCCCTGTCACTCAAGCTAATGACTTGCTTGATGACGGTATGGACGATGACATGGATGTGGAGGATGAGCTGGCTGGACCTGAGGACGAGGATCTTGATGGGGACCTTGAAGATGAAGCTCCCTCTGCCCCCAAACCCCCCCCTCCACCAAAGGTGAGAGGAGGAGTGACTTGACAGGCTTCAAGAAAGAAAGTTCAAGGAAGCAGTTTTATCATATGACTTTCAGAAAAGAAACATCTATAAATTAAGTTAGAGAGCGATGCTATCAATGAAAAAAATATAGTAATGTAAAGATGACACCAAGTGGCCTAATTTTTTTAATCCTCACTTGCAATGCAAACTTAGTACAACTAGTTAGGGTTAGTATAACTTTTATTTGAACATGGATTATGGGAGATTTAAGTTTAAAATAGTTATCAGATGAATCACTTGTCAATATTTGATTATTTGTGTGCAGGTGACCTACAAAGCTCCAGAGCCCGTGGGGGAACATTTCTTTGCTGAGTCCTTTGACCGTGGCACCCTTGATGGGTGAGCACATTTTTACAGCTAAATCATTAAATGGTTTGATAAATTGTTTATTGATAAAATGAAAAGATAAGTCATCAAAAACAGTGACCATTAAATAATAGTGTGTGTGTGTTATTTAGGCACACGTTTTTGTTTTTTTGCAAAATTTTTGAATGTAAGAATGAGATCTGATTCTATTTGATGTCCTGGTGACTTACAGTGGGAAAAAAGGTTGCTCTTCTGACTTGCTCTCGTGTGAAAAAAATGAAATGTGTTTTCATTAAGAGTATGTTATGTGTGTGTGTAATTGTCAGCTGGGTGCTGTCCAATGCCAAGAAGGACAGTGCTGATGAAGAGATTGCCAAGTATGATGGTGAGTTCAGTTATGCCTCACAGAGTAGTAGGCGTGAGTACTGTTAGTATATTGTCCATACCAGTGTTGTCTATTAGCACTTACTATGTTACTATTCAATTCAGTGATGGGAACAACATGTGTTGATAACATCTGAGAGTGTTAGGCAGCAATGGCATACTATGCAATTTCAAGTGAAAGCTGTAAATCTCTTAATTGTTTTTTTTTTCTTCCCCTATCGCCTCTGTTTAAAAAGCTAATTAAAACAGTCAAAGTAACTAGTTATTTAGACCGATGATGTTCATTTACAATACTAAATTAAATTGTGTGGTCAACCATTTAGATATGCTATATGGTAATGTTGCAGATAGGATAAAAGTTGTGACAGATTAAGGAGGTAGATTGTATGTGAATGTAACTGATGTCTTCTACAGGTAAATGGATGGTTGAGGAGATGAAGGACAGTAAATTGCCTGGAGATAAAGGTCTGGTCCTGAAGTCTAGAGCCAAACATCACGCCATCTCAGCACAGCTTCTACGACCTTTCATCTTTGACACTATGCCCTTAATCATTCAGTAAGAGCAGGCACATAACCATGAATAAAACTGACTGTGTGCACCTGTAGGATGTCTGAGGGATCTTTTCCCACTTTGAACAGGTACGAGGTGAACTTCCAGTCAGGAATCGACTGCGGTGGCGCCTATATCAAACTGCTGACGCAGACTCCTGATCTTGACCTGGTCAGTCTGAGATACATGCCTCATATCATTAAAAGTGATAAGGATTTACTTATACATAATACACTAACAATTTAAACTGTTCGCTGTGGGGGCTGAAATGAAAACAAAATTGTTTAAAATGCGAAATGTACTTCACATTTATTTGCTTGTGTGTCACTTTAGGACCAATTCGTGGACACAACTCCTTACACCATTATGTTTGGGCCTGACAAGTGTGGTGAAGATTACAAACTGCACTTCATCTTTAGACACAAGAACCCCAAAACTGGAGAGTTTGAAGAAAAACATGCCAAAAAACCTGATGCTGACCTGAGATCATACTACACTGACAAGAAGACTCACCTCTACACACTGGGTAAACAAATCAGAAAACCAGATAGACCAGATTTACTATTAGTGTATTCTGTGGTGTATAATTCCCATCACTGTCCAATGAATAAGATCATTACATGCAAAAGTTTTTCACAAATTACTACTCTTCTTCCCCCTCTAGTGGTTAACCCTGATAACAGCTTTGAGGTGCTCATCGATAACACTGTTGTGAACAGTGGCAACCTTCTGACGGACATGACACCTTCTGTGAACCCACCTGCTGAGATTGAAGACCCAAATGATCACAAACCTGAGGACTGGGATGAGAGAGCTAAGATCCAGGATCCTGATTCTGTCAAACCTGAAGATTGGTGTGTGATTGTCATTTACTGCCACAAATACAGCATTTCTTCATTGATTTAAATTGAGGCTGACTAATAACTCTGCAATCCCAGTTTCCTGAGATTAACCCTTTGGGTGTGTTAACTCTGTGTCAATGTTTTGCTTTTCTAAATCTTTGTGTGCAGGGATGACGACGCCCCTGCACAAATCCCAGATGAAGATGCAGTGACACCAGAAGGCTGGCTAGATAATGAGCCTGAGTACATTGGTGACCCTGATGCTATCAAACCTGAAGATTGGTATGTATATACACTTGTGTAGAAACGATTACGTCAATACTATATTGGTGACTTTGCTTTTTATGTTTTTTTATTTATTGTAATGTTATTTTCCCCGGATCTATTCTCCTGTTTTATATTGTTGACTTTATGACGGGAGCGCTTCTTACATATATATACATATATATTACTTCATATTTAAATTATATAAATGCAGCCACCTCTGTGGAAATAAATAAATGCACATAGTACTGCAGTACTCTTAATCAACATGAGGAATTCTTTTTTTTTTATTTTTTTTTTATTTATTCATTCATTGCTTACTTCTGTCTGTCAGGGATGAAGAGATGGATGGTGAATGGGAGGCTCCTCAAATCCCTAACCCTGCCTGTGAGACAGCACCAGGCTGTGGCGTCTGGAAACGTCCCATGATCGATAACCCTAATTATAAGGGCAAGTGGAAGCCACCCATGATTGACAACCCCAACTACCAGGTGAGTTTGTGAAGACAACTGACTGTTTTCACTGAGAAGATGCTTAAGTTTATCCTCTAATCTCTGTTACCCTTTTGCTCAGGGAGTCTGGAAACCACGGAAGATTGCCAACCCTGCCTTCTTTGAAGACCTGCACCCCTTCAGAATGACTCCATTCAACGCTGTTGGACTTGAACTCTGGTCCATGTCCTCTGACATCTTCTTCGACAATTTCTTTATCACCAATGATCGTAACACTGCAGACCGCTGGGCAAATGATGGCTGGGGCCTAAAGAGGGCAGCAGAGAGTGCAGCTGAGGTCAGTTCAAAGTTTTTTTTCAGTTTTTTTTTTTTGTCCAAAATGCACTTAAGGATAGCTATGTTGAACAAACTGTAGCATAATAGTTGTTGTTTATCCATACATTTTCCGTTACAATTTCACTGACAATATGAAAATTTTGCTGTTGACTTGATATTCAAACTATGGAATCACCCTTTGTTGTCCTGGTTATAAAAACATTCCAGTTTTTGACTAAAAACTCTATAACAAACAAGCTGGTTCTGTCATCATTGGTAATCTTATTTTGTGTGACATCTACAAAGCCACATGGGTTTGGCTCTATTTTCTGGTTGTTGATCTTTCTCTATGTTATAACTTTGGGCTTTATTTGTTTTTACTTGCACAGCCTGGTCTGGCCACTCAGATGCTGAATGCTGCAGAGGAGCGTCCCTGGCTCTGGGTTGTCTACGTCCTTACCGTGGCTTTGCCACTGATCCTCATCATTGTCTTCTGCTGCACTGGAAAGGTAATAAACACAGATAAAGTTTTCATGTTCACTTTGACTTTTATTTATTCTTACATTTACTTCACTTCCCTTTCGCTGTCCTTAACCATTACCAGTTCTGCAACATAACCAGAGCCTTACCAATGAGACTCTTCACTTTTTTAAAAGTTAATTTGATAGTAGGCAAACGTTGACAGGCAAGACTGATGATTATATATTTGGTTGAATATCAGAGCTCTTGATAAAGGGTTTGTGTCTTGCTTTGATATCTGTGTGACTGTTTACAGCAGTTATCAAGATCAGCTCAGGGTCATTTGAGTCTGGACGGTTTACAGGAAGTGTTTAAGGAAACCAGATCTACCAACACGTCCACCGGCTCGGTGATTGTTCCTGCTCTTGCTTCCTTCGCCATCATACAGTAGTCCATATGTATACATGGACGTAGTCTGGATACAAACCAGGTTTTTATATAAAACCTTAAACCTTTTTAAAGTAAAGTTTAAAGATGTTATTTGGCCAGCATCGTTGAGTACATTTACATTTAAGCCATTTAGCATCTTTCTTGATAACAAGTTGAGTCACACGGAAAACTATGTCCATGTTATGATGGTCATTGGCTAGAGAATCTCTGTCCTGTGTAGATAGACATTCTGCCCCTGTGTGTGAATTTGTCGTGTAGCCTGGGGTCAAATCTTGACCATGTTGATATTGATGATACAATATGTGGTGCTCAGTGTATGTGTTCTGTTGTATTTATTTTGTTAACAGATTTACCAGCAAGATGTTTTTCATGATTGACTAAAAATTTGAAATAACTTTGTCTTTCTGTGCACTTCTGCAGAAGAAGAGCCCGGCAACTCCAGCTGAGTACAAAAAGACTGATGAACCTCAGCCTGATGTGAAGGAAGAAGAGGAGCAAGAGGAAGAGGAAGAGAAGGTTGAAGAAGCAGAGAAGAGTGGTCCAGGTTTGTGCAAATATATACATGTTTTTTATTATTTTTTTTTTATTTTTTTTAATATTTGATAAATCTCTTTCCTGCAACAGAGGAGAAGGACGACTCGGAGGAGAGTCCTGTGAAGGAAGAAGAGGAGGCAGAAAAGGATGACGAGCAAGAGGCAGTTGATGAGGTAAGGACAGTGTGTTTAATGCATGAAAAATGAAGAATGCCTTTTCTGTCAGTGCACACTATTGAATGCAAATATTTATAATTATTTATTTATAATTTAGATTGCTCAGTTATATCTGTCCTCCTGGGTAATTTTGCAGCTGTTGAAACAACAAAGTGACTGGAATAGTTCTTACAAAATGAAAATTTTGAGAAATTAAAAAGTTTTATTTTAGAATCTAGAATGTGAAGATGCAGTTGTTTTTTTCTCCTGTGAAATCTGTGGACAAGAACAAGACATTTAAGGTCATTGTCTTTTGTTGATTTGTGACAAATTGCTCAGTCATCTTCAGAATGCTTGACATTTATTAGACCATCTGAGGTCCGCTGTTAATTTATTTAATTAATATAATTTAGTACGCCAGTTTTCCAAAGCAAAACAAATTACCTTTTCTTTTTTTTCTAGAAGTCAGAGGATGACATTCTGCGAAGATCTCCAAGGAACAGGAAAGTCAGAAGGGACTGATTTCTGAATCCAGTGACTTGACCGCCACACCCTTCCCCTTCAGTGTCCCTGCCCTCCTCTTCACTCTGAGATGATGAAGCTGAAAATGGATCCATGGAAGCAGCGAAGCTGATGCACGCCATATGATGATGATTCCAGTATAAAGGACTGAGTTAGTTTGATTAAAAGGAGTTTAACTGAGATTAACTAAATCTTCCTGCATCATTCCTTAACATCCGAGCAAACCACAATACACGACAGCCACGCCTTCTGTCCTGTCAGCCGAGCTGCCGCTGCCACTTCCACACAAAAGCCCCACCCTCATGGCAGCATGTCATGCACTGTACCAAGTGGTTAAGTCTCCTGACAGTCTGACCTTTATCTGCCCTTTATAACAATTAATAACAATAATTCTGTTTTTTTCTTTATTTATATGAAACTTGCCATGCAACCTTGAAACTGAGCGGAAATGTTATTTCAGTGTAAATCTATTTATGATCAAGTTAAAAAATTTCAACCCAAAATTCAGGAAGTTTTTACCTGTGCACCTTAGTTTAGACAATTTAATTCGTTTTATGACAGGTATATATTAACAAAGAACATAGTAGTAATACTAGTGTTTAATTCCTTTTTTAAGCCCCTGGCTGCAATAGCAACCAATAGAAGATCACATCTTGTTGCCCATAAGCAGGATGCAAACTAACTAGGCTAACACCTGCATTCAACAAGCCCAGGTTAAAGCTTTCTATGTGTTGGCTTCTTAATAACGTCAACTGAACACTGTACGTCAACAGTCATTAACCTGAAGTATCTGTGAGCCTCCAGCAATAGCATTCAAAGAAGCAACACTCCAGAAGACTGACGTAATTGGTTTTTGTTCATGAAATCTCTGCATTTTAACATTTGACATCCTGATGGGGGCAGCTGAGAGTAGAGGTCCTCTGTTTTCAGAATAAACCACCATCTCTCATGGGTCATTGACCTAATAACATAAGGCTCCTGCTCTATTATTGTTGGGTCATGACATGTTACAATCACAACCGGTGACCCCAGGACTACCTTAGTTCCTTGTGGATCATAACATAAATGTTGATTAGAGATTTTAGTTCACACAAGCTTGACTGTAAATATTAATGCTACACTGATACAATGTGTCTGTCCTTGAGCCACCGAAGCAACAGACGGTCAAAACAACTTTTTGCTGTTCTTAACAAGTAAATATCTAAAATAATCCATCTAGATTTAGTAAAATACTTTTCTGTTTGTTGTTTTGTTGGACTTGTCAGCAGATGAACAGACTGTCCCTTTTAATCATAGACCCCATATAAAAAGATTAAGGCACTAAAGGGGAAAAACTCAAGGCGCTTAACCGTCATCTGCTGAGACAAACACTCAATGAACTTGACATAATTTTTACAAAATCTTCAAAAAACCTATGACATTCTAAAGACCTTTGACAAATATATTTTAAAAAAAACTCGAGACATCTGATAAACACTGACAAAATGCTTTACTACTGATTTGTCTTTCATTGTCAATTCTCAACATGACATTTTTGTTACTTGCTTACCTAACCTTTGCTGCCCCTATCAGGATGTTTAACTTTTTTTTTCCTTCAAGTAGAGATTTTGGGGAGATTCAGGATACTGAATATTTTGTTTTCTGTGTAGTATACTAATAATGAGCTCACGGTGTCACATGACTAGTGACTTAAGTGTTCAGGAAAGTTGGAAATAATGTTATTAAATTGGATGAATAATAACCTTAACCTAGAATACAGACTTTGTTGTTAATTACCTTTGAGATTTCAGTAATAGTACTGGTCAGTTGAGATGTGTTAGCCTGTTAGTGTTCTGCAGTTGCATGCTAACCTCTTAGAGTATACACTCCGGCTTGAATTAACCACTCTGGTGTGATGTAATTTGAGGGGCCTGGATTATAACATTAACAAATCTAAAGCTGCAGAATAAGTATCAGACTGAAAACTGGTCAATTAAGATGTAAAACATCTGATAACAGAATACAAACTGTCTGAGGTATAAATGGACACAAGTCTGATCTTGTTACTATTATGTGTCTTGTTTTTGTGTCGTCAGGTTGTGTGCAGAGGCTTTACCTCAAGAGCTTGGGGTAAAAAAAAATGTGAACTGCTGTGTGTTCTGAAGCATTTGTGTTTCTGGTTTTTATTTCTTCTTAAGGCTGTTGTTTAGGTGAATGTGTGACCATATAACTTTTTTTAACCTTTTCCCCCATTGCTGTCTTCAACACAAGTCTTTTTCCCCTCCTGTATATTTCTTGGGTTTTTTTTGGGGGGGAGGGGTCCTCCCCTCTTCACGTAGCAGTAACAGAGACGGCAACAGTGGCGTTAAAATACCATCATCAGCGTCCAGTATGTTTTAGCCACTCTTTCTCCTCCTTCCTCCTGTTGTAGTGTGATGTTTCCTCTTAAGGCTGCCTGTAGCTTACAGACTGTATAGATTGAACACTGTATCTGCCGGTGTGACTTTGTGTCTCTGTAACTTTAACTTTTTTATTATTTTTGTTAAGCTAATCTTTCAGCGAGGTGTTTCTAAAGCTCTGCCTTGAACAGTTACACTGTTGATGATGACGATGATGATGATGATGATGATGAAGAAGCCTGGTGTGAATGTGGACATTCAGTCAACATTTGTTTTGATGAATAAAAAGGCCAAATTGAAACTGAAATAAAGAAATGTTTTATTTTTCATTGGATCTTCTACAAGTTGATGGTGGAAAAACCTCATTCACGTTTCTGTAAGTTTGGTGTTAATTTGTTAAAACATTTATAGGTTTATCTCAAACAGAAGTAAACAAAACTCAAATTTGTATATTTTTTTTAAATACAAAAGCAGGCAAAAATAATATAACAAATGTTTGTTAAAAGAAAATGTCTAATAAGAGGAAATTCTATTGACTACCAAAATTGTTATTGATATTTAAATTAGGATTATAAATCTGGCCACTTTTGTGACGTGCCAGTATGTAATAAAAGGTTGCGATTGGTTTACTATATGTCGGTCATCTCTTCAGCCGTACTTTAATTGGTCATCTTTACTGTCATTCAGCTGAGGGTGGACGCAGTGGAACATTCCTCCTGTCGCTGATGGAAAAAAAGAGAAAGTTCCCAAGATGGCGGCGTGGAGCTGCTTGTCCGCTGGAAAACAATAGAAGCAGCAGAGAAGCAGCGAGTTAGCCGCTTCTCCCTCACCGCCCTGCCTCCGCCTCACAGCCATACACGGGGAGATTCTGGCCTGGTCACTAAAAGATATTCTTGCCTGCAGCAGGGGTAAACATTCGCACAATGGTGCTTTTATCGAATGTTCCACGCTAGCCATCCTGCTAGTCAGCGAACTAGTGGAGCTATCGTTACCCAAGTAGAGCCGTTAGCAGCGGGTTAGCACTGCAGCCAACGGCTACACGGAGGCGGAGGATCATCAGCTGTTCCACAGATGCTGTAGAAAGAGCGAACAGCAGCAACACATTCACAGTAAGTCATTTAAAAACAAGTTTATTCTTTAAATATGTAGGAATTGCAACGGATTGTATTGGTATAGGATGACATTTAAAGTAAAGTCGTATAAATAACACACTAAAATAACTCGGTGAAGTGTTTCTCTGCCAAGTTTGAGAGCCTTTTTAGCCTGTTAGCTCCGTGTTAGCTTCGTAAAGTGAGCTAAATGTGACTAGTTAACCACAAAATTAAGTTTTTTTCAATTGGGTAATCTATTTTATTGAGGTGTTTCTTAGTCACGTTAGTGAACACGCCAAGTAAAAGACAACTAACTACTGGTCAGCTTCTGAAGGGGTTCTTAATTAGAGGAGAGAGTTTTCAAGGGATTCGACGCTCCAACTTTGATTCGTGAG